GGGCGGTGGCTCTTCTTGCTGGGCTACTATGGTGGCAATCAAATATTTCCCACTTGCAGGATCGGGTAACACACACTTCCTTCCTCTCCCTTTTTCTAGCATTTGCAATATGCATTTTCTTTTTTTTGGTTACATGGGCAATTTCAATATCCATTTTCATGGGACAGATTCAATCAAAAGTCTAATATAATTAGTGCTAATATCATTAGACTAGTATTAAAAGGGACATATTATCAATTATTATGACTAATGACTGATTGATACTTCACTTGTCACATAGATAATCTGGTTTATTAATCTGGTAAAAAACAATGATTCATACCGTTCAGAGGGTATGATTTGTTTCCTTTTTCTGGGTTTGGCACAATAGTTGAAGATATAGGCTATTGGGTTTATGCCAAGCATGACATAAAGTATCACTTAATGGAATGCCTAAGTTTCAGCATGCAGAAGAAATTTTTTTCTGGATAACAATTTGCAAAGATATCCTAGCTCCTCAAACATAACCCATTTTAACAACTTTGAGAATCTTTTTCGATTATGTATGCAGACTGGGCTTCTCTTCTTTATGTCTGAATTTTGGGGGTTTTTCCCTCTGCTCCAAGCAATTTTCACCTTCCCCCAAGAGCGCAAGATGCTTGAAAAGGAAAGATCATCAGGCACATTCATGCTCTCCTCGTATTTCATATCAAGGATTGTTGCTGATCTCCCCATGGAGCTTGCCCTTCCAACCCTATTTGTCACCATAACATATTGGATGGCTGGGCTCAAACCCACAGCAGGACACTTTTTCCACACCTTGCTTGTTCTGCTACTCAGTGTGTTAGTGGCTCAAGGCATGGGGCTTGCTCTTGGGGCTCTGGTAATGGACCAAAAAAAGGCCGCAGTACTTGCATCAGTCCTCATGGTGTCATTTCTGCTAGCTGGAGGTTTCTTTGTTCAACATGTTCCTGCTTTCATTGCTTGGATCAAATACATCTCCATCATTAACTACTCATACAAGCTCTTGCTGGGATCTCAATACAATGAAAATGACACTTACCCATGTGATGGTGGACTGGGTTGTAGGCTAATTGGTTTTTCCTTCCTAGAGAGTTAAACTGAGTGGTTAAAGGCAATTGCTTTGGTGTGCCATTTTGTTTATGTAAAGCATAAGTTATGCTAGCCCTATAGTTATGTGCTACATATAGACTCATTTCTTTTCTTCTGTCATATGTGTGAAAGAGAACAGCTAGGCTAATGACGAATTCAATAAGAAAATTTGTATGTAGTTTAGGCGTAAGCAGAAGCTTAGAAATTAGATTAGTTTGCTACTTCAATTCTCGACAGTAAACTTGATGTATCAAAATGAGGAATGAAACTTTGGTAAGTTAAAGTTTGATAAGTGGAGATATGGAATCCATTGATCGATCTTTTACAATTAGAGCTGATGTTGGATTTTGCAGCAGTTAGAACTTTCAAGGACGACCGAGACCTTGAAAATCCTCAACTGATGTATTTGAAAATCCAAACCTACTCTAAATAAATATGCTAAAATTGAGTCAACGTTTGGGAAGCAATACTTACTCAGAAGTTTCCGCTGGATCTCGATGCAATTTCCACAGATTCGGCAGCCAACCTGGACCGATTCGCTTTGTGAAGAAGGAGACAATTAAGTGGCGGTGGATTTAACGCTTTCTGTCCTTGTCAATCTCTAACCCCCGTCGTTTTCTTCAACCAGCGCCACCTACCGAACACGTAATCGATGGCAGATTGACGGCTGAATATTTTTTATTTTTTTAAAGTGTAATTATGTTGGTCACGACGCGGTATTCCATCTCTCTCCCTCTCTCCCATTATTTGCTTTATACATAGCCCTCTCTCTCTCTCTCTCTCTCTCTCTCCCTCATATGAAATTGACTTAGGTATTTCCTCGCTTCTTCTTTAGTTTTTGGTCCTGTCTTTAAAATAGGAGTTCAGATCCTCTGTCCGTGTTTATGTGTGTCCCTCCATGTCCCTGCCTTAATTTTTTGACAGCTAGCATCCAACTTAACCGTACTTTAACAGTTCTACTCTAACTCTGTTATCTTTTCTTTTCTTTTTTTATCCTGCATTTACCCCTTCTCTCTGCTCTATTTTTTTTATTTATTCTTCTCTCTCCGCTCTGCCAGTTTTCTTCTTCCTCTTTGTTTCCTTATCTCTTTTTCTTCCTGCCCTGTGGCAGAAAAAACAGAGGGGAGGGTGTGGGAAACGCAAGGAAAAAAAAAAAGACTTACTCTGTTAAAGTTGTTAAGTGAGATGCCAGCTGGAAAAAAAAATAAGGCAGGGACAGGGAGGGACACACAAAAACATGGACAGAGGATCTGAACTCTGCATATAGCTACCTCAACCAATGAGTTAATTGGCAATTATGTGTTCAATTCCCTCTACTAGACTGAAAGTTGATGACATAAATTTCTTAGGAGAGATGAATGTTAAGCACCATTCTTAATTAGCATTGACGCTCGGCTTTGATTTTTTTTTTTTTTTATAAAGAAAGATTAATTAGATGAAAAGTTCATTTCATTATTGTCTTCAATCCAAAGTTGCTCAAAGCTCAACTGAGCTCATCAGTAACACCATTAAACATGGCCTAACTCACAAATTAATCCCTATTAACTAATTATACAATTGCGTGTGTAAATGTTGTCATATCAAAACTGGAAAAAGCAAAACAAAAAACTGGATTATCTCATAAATAAAAAGTTGGGAACTTGCTTGGAATTTTATAAGTACACCTTGGCACCCGATCACTTTGTTGAGAAAGGAAGTTTCCTTGAAATTTCCTTTCACTTTTTGGGTGGAAAACATTTGTCATTTCACTTTTGTAGTACATTTCCTTGAAATTTTCTCTCACTTTTGTACTACAATGTTTCGTCATTGTTTGTATTGATTAGTTTTTTTGTTTTTGCATGGTTTCATTCATGAATTGAAGTTTATCTTTTTATTGCAAAAAAGAAAAGAAAAGACAACAGACCCACGGGCTCTACCACCCACAGAACAAAATAGAAAGTGTGTTCACTACCCTCTCTCTGTTTTTTTTTGGGGTGGGTTTTTGGAGGGATTGGTTCTTGTTGTTGTTTTCTTGCCAATTCTTTGGCTTTGTGATTTGTTAATTTGTTGTTCTGCTGAGTTATTGTTCGAGTTGGTGTGTTTTGTTGGCGTGACTTGTGAACTATTGACTTACTTTTTTTTCACACTAAGAATTCCTATTATAATTGTAATTGATTTACTTTAATTCTTGATTTCCTTCTGTAAATAGAAATATGAATTTATTATTTACCTGCCCATTAAAGTTCTGTTGTACTATAAATAAGACCTCCTACAAGGAGAAGAATACATAGAAAATTCCCACAAACAAATATTTTCTCATAGTTCTCATATTTTAGCATGATATCAAAGCAGCGATCTTGGAATTGCTGACTCTAGTTTCAAACCTCCACTGCCGCTATGGGGGTTGATGATTTTTTCAATCCTCATGGAGGTAGCACCATTGACTACTTCTCTCATTCTCAACCAACCATAGCTAAGTTGAGTGCCAAGGTGGCTTAGCTCCTACAGATGCAGACTTTGACCCTGACCCCGATCCTGAATTAGGTTCCTATTTTGATGACCTCGACCTCGACCGCGACTCCAATGACCACCCCCGCCCCGACCCCGAATTTGTGTCTGATTCAGACTTGGATTTTGACTTCAACTCATACTCCGGCCCCTACTCAGGCTCAGATCCTGATTTGGATTCCTACTAAACATGTATCCTATGCATCTTCCAATGCACAAATTATGACTTCTCGACTAACGATCCCGACACATGGAAGAGATTGCACATATTGTGGTGATTCAAGACACACTCATAAGACTTATTTTAAATTGCATGGCTACCCCAAATGGTGGTGTTTTTCTCTTTTCGGCCGGGTAGGCCGATTGAAGGAGTTTTTGGTCCTTCTTCTTTTTTGAGTGCGGGGCGTGCCACCACCAAGCCCCAAATTTGGGCTTGAATGGAATGTGAGTAGATGGATGTGTTGCGTCCGAGATCTGACTTTAATCAAACGATTGTTCGGCCGAGCAAGGAACCTCCTCACGGCCTAGGTTCTTTCACTACCTCGGAGTCAAGACTTTATGTGAGCAACCAAATGATGTGGAGTGGGTGGAGATGAAGATTGAAGGTGAAATGTGAAGAACACGTGCGTAAAGTAAAATGTGCTTGAATTTAAATATAATTAAAAGACAAGTGCAGAAAGTAAAGTGCTTAAAAATAAATAATTTAAAGACGAGTGCGTAATTTAAAGTGCGTAAAATAAAGAATGTAAAGACGATTGCGTAATGTAAATTGCATAAATTAAATAATTGAAATGCGAGTGCGTAAAGTAAAGGGCAGAAAGTAAACTAGATTACGAATAACAGTGAAGATAACATGAATTGAAATTATTGTAATTGAAATAGAATTGAAAAACAAGAACAAGAACATAAAGGCATAATTGAAATCTTCGGAAACTAGAGCGGAAAAAATAAGAACTAGGCTATGGCTACATTATGCTACTCCTATGATAGAAATTGAAGAGAATGTAAAATGACAAGTTGTGTGTTGTGTCGGGGGTCTTTTCTCTCTTCCATAAGCTTGGTATTTATAGGGGCTTGGGTGCGTCTCAATTTGGTTGGTCGTCAATTGGCTTTCAAATTAATCATAATTGCTCCAGAATATCTTCAATCCCTTGTCTCATGTGTGTGATTTAATGTGAATAATAACATTTGATTTGATTTTCCTTCCATCTTGAGCTCTCCCAGCAATAACTTCAGTTGACCATCAAGCTGGCATAATTCCTTCCATATTTGAATTGTAACCTATGAGAAAATCATCCTACGGATTATCTCTCTCCTTATTTAAGCATTGACTGATTTTATGTATTCGGCCGCTTTTAGTCATTCGATCATATCTACACTTTCAGCCGCTTATAGGCTTTCGATCATATCTACACTTTAGGCCGCTTATAGGCTTTCGACCACTTTTATGCTCTCAGCCGTATTGATATGCTCGACCATATTAATGTATGCAGCCACATGTAGATATTCGGCCACCTTTATGATTTTGGGCTTCTATTCGACCTTATTGATTAGGCCCACTGACTGGGCTCAATGTTAATTAAATTGTCGGATCTCGGGCCTGACCCGGTCAAATTTCAACCAGGCCCAAACAGGTGGGTTACTCTCAAAGATCTAACACAACACGATACGACCAATAATGGTACTGGTTATGGATTCCATACTTCGGATAAGAGTGATTCCACGAGCTAGATAATTGATTCCGGTGCTACTGATCATATGACGTTTGATCCTGATGATTTTATGAATACTATACAACTCCGATGAACTTGTATTGCTAACGCTAACGGAGTACTTTTCCTGTGACATGGGCTGACACTATTGCACTCTCATCCTCTCTCTCACTGTCTAATACTTTACTTGTTCCATCTTTATCCAATAAATTGATGTCTGTTAGTAAGCTTACTGAACAATTGAATTGTTGTGTACTCATTTATTCGAGTTTTTGTTTGCTTCAAGATATTCACACTAAGGAGATTCCTGATCATGGTACTAAGAGACTTAAGTCCCATCATGGCTAATAGTGTGATGCATCCCTCTGATTGAAAACAAAAGCAAATTTGGTTGTGACACTGTTGATTGGGATACCATATTTTAGTTATATGAAGCATCTTATACCATATTTATTCTCAGGTTTCAAGGACTCTGACTTCACATGTGACACTTGTATTTTGGCCAAGAGTCACCGTGTGCCCTATTCGTTGACTACGAACAAGTGTACTACTCTATTTACGTTAATTCACTCTTATGCCTAGGGACCTTCACATATCATTGCTCCTTCTAGCGTTCGGTAGTTTGTCACATTCGTAGATGATTATACAAGGATGACATGGCTTTGCTTGCTGAAAAATAAAACGAAGTGTTTTCCCATTTGTCAATCAATGCTCAAATACAGATTCTTCGCTTAGACAATGTTGGAGAATTTGTCAATCATGACTTTCAAGCTTCCTTCCAACAACATGGAATTATCCATGAGACGACTTGTCCTCAGACGCCACAACAAAATGGCATTGCTGTACTAAAGAATCGACATCTTCTTGAAATTGCCAGAGCACTTCTAATTGGCGCTCATGTTCCTGGCCATCACTAGGATGATGCTATTGTCACCGCAGTTCACCTGATCAACCGCATGCCTTCTAGTGTATTGACCCTT